TCCATGATTGTAGTGCTGTATGATAGCGTATGTTAGAACATTTTTCCCCTGATTGTAGTGCTGTTTGATACTGTATGTTAGAACATTGTACCATGATTGTAGTGCTTTTAATGATACTGTATGTTAGAACATTGTCCATGATTGTGTCTGTATGATATCTGTATGTTAGAACATTGTTCCATGTTTTGTAGTGCTGTATGAATCTGTATGTTAGAACTTGTACCATAAATTTGTAGTGCTGTATGATAGCTGTAGGGTTAGAACATTGTTCCATGATTGTAGTGCTTAGATATGATGTTAGAACATTTTTCCATGATTGTAGGCTGTAGATACTGTAAGTTAGAATTGTACCATGATTGTAGTGCTGTATGAAAACTGTATGTTAGAACATTGTCCAAAGATTGTAGTGCTGTATGATACTGGATGTTAGAACTTTGTACCATGATTGTAGTGCTGTATGATAGCTGTATGTTAGAACATTTTTCCATGATTGTAGTGCTGTATGATACTGTATGTTAGAACATTTTTCCATGATTGTAGTGCTGTATGATAGCTTTTAGTTAGAACATTGTTCCATGATTTTTGCTGTATGATGCTGTATAAAACATTTTCCATATTGTAGTGCTTAGATACTGTATGTTAGAACATTGTACCATGATTGTAGTGATGTAGATACTGTATTTAGAACTTGTACCATGATTGTAGTGCTGTATGATATCTGTATGTAGAACATTGTACCATGATTGTAGGCTGTATGATATGCTTGTATGTTAGAAACATTGTACCATGATTGTAGTGCTGTATGATAGCTGTATTTTTAAGAACATTTTTCCATGATTGTAGTGCTGTATGATACCCTGTATGTTAGAACATTTTTCCATGATTGTAGTGCTGAAAATGATAGCTGTATGTTAGAACATTGTTCCATGTTTGTAGTGCTGTATGATCTGTATGTTAGAACATTGTTCATAAATGTAGTGCTGTATGATACTGAAATGTTAGAACAATGTCCATGATTGTAGTGCTGTTTTGATACTGTATTTTTAGAACATTGTTCCATGATTGTAGTGCGTATGATAGCTGTATTTTAGAAAATTGTACCTTGATTGTAGTGCTGTATGATACTGTATGTTAGAAAAATTGTTCCATGATTTTTGTGCTGTATGAAACTGTATGTTAGAAACATTGTTCCATGATTGTAGTGCTGTATGATACTGTATGTTAGAACATTGTTCCATGATTGTAGTGCTGTATGATAGCTGTATGTTAGAACATTGTACCATGATTGTAGTGCTGTATGATACTTTTATGTTTAGAACATTGTTCCATGATTGTAGGTGGCTGTATGCTACGGGTATGTTTAAGAACAATTGTCCATGATTGTAGTGCTGTATGATAGCTGTATGTTAGAACATTGTTCCATGATTGTAGTGCTGTATGATACTGTATGTTAGAACATTGTCCAAATTGTAGTGCTGTAGATACTGATGTTAGAACATTGTTCCATGATTGTAGTGCTGTATGATAGCTGTATGTTAGAAACATTGTAACCAGGGAATTGTAGTGCTGTATGATAGCTGTATGTTAGAACATTGTCACCATGATTGTAGTGCTGTATGATAGTGTATGTTAGAACATTGTCCATGATTGTAGTGCTGTATGATAGTCTGTATGTTAGAACATTGTACCATGATGTGAGTGCTGTATGATAGCTGTATGTTTAGAACATTGTACCAATGATTGTAGTGCTGTATGAATAGCGTGTAAATAGTGGTGCTAGAACATTGTTAGCACATGAAGTTGTAGTGCTGTATGATATCTGAATGTTAGAAAATTGTACCAGTGATTGTATGCTGTATGATATAGTGTATGTTAGAACATTGTACCATGATTGTAGTGCTGATGATAGCTGTATGTTAGAAAATTGTATCCATGATTGTAGTGCTGTATGATACTGTATGTTAGAACATTGTACCATGATTGTAGTGCTGGTATGATAGCTGTCATGTTAAGGAGAATTGTCATGATTGAGTGCTGTATGATACTGTATGTTAGAAACATTGTACCATGATTGTAGTGCTGTATGATAGTCTGTATGTTAGAACATTGTTCCATTGATTGTAGTGCTGTATGATAACTGTATGTTAGAACATTGTACCATGATTGTAGTGCTGTATGATAGCTGTATGTTAGATAGAACCATTGTAGTGCATGATAGCTGTAGTTAGAACATTGTCCATGATTGTAGCTGTAATGTTTTAGAACATGTTCAATGATTGTAGTGCTGTATTGATAGCTGTATGTTAGAACATTGTCCATGATTGTAGTGCTGTATGATTAGCTGTATGTTAGAACATTGTACCATGATTGTAGTGCTGTATGATAGCATGTATGTTAGAACATTGTACCATGATTGTAGTGCTGTATGATAGCTGTATGTTAGAACATTGTATCCATGATTGTAGTGCTGTATGATATCTGTATGTTAGAACATGTGTACCATGATTGTAGTGCTGTATGATATCTGTATGTTAGAACATTGTTCCATGATGTAGTGCAGTAGATAGCTGTATGTAGAACATTGTCCATGATTGTAGTGCTGTATGATAGCTGTATGTTAGAACATTGTACCATGATTGTAGTGCTGTATGATAGCTGTATGTTAGAACATTGTACCATGATTGTAGTGCTGTATGATAGCTGTATGTTTAGACATTGTACCATGATTGTAGTGCTGTATGATAGCTGTATGTTAGAACATTGTACCATGATTGTAGTGCTGTATGATAGCTGTATGTTAGAACATTGTACCATGATTGTAGTGCTGTATGATAGCTGTATGTTAGAACATTTGTATCCATGATTGTAGTGCTGTATGATATCTGTATGTAGAACATTGTACCATGATTGTAGTGCTGTATGATAGCTGTATGTTAGAACATTGTACCATGATTGTAGTGCTGTATGATATCTGTATGTTAGAACATTGTACCATGATTGTAGTGCTGTATGATAGCTGTATGTTTAGAACATTGTCCATGATTGTAGTGCTGTATGATATCTGTATGTTAGAACATTGTACCATGATTGTAGTGCTGTATGATAGCTGTATGTTAGAACATTGTACCATGATTGTAGTGCTGTATGATAGCTGTATGTTAGAAAAATTGTACATGATTGTAGTGCTGTATGATAGCTGTATGTTAGAACATTGTTCCATGATTGTAGTGCTGTATGATAGCTGTATGTTAGAACATTGTACCATGATTGTAGTGCTGTATGATATCTGTATGTTAGAACATTGTACCATGATTGTAGTGCTGTATGATAGCTGTATGTTAGAACATTGTACATGATTGTAGTGCTGTATGATAGCTGTATGTTAGAACATTGTACCCATGATTGTAGTGCTGTATATGATATGCTGTATGTTAGAACATTGTACCATGATTGTAGTGCTGTATGATAGCTGTATGTTAGAACAATGTACCATGATTGTAGTGCTGTATGATGCTGTATGTTAGAACATTGTCCATGATTGTAGTGCTGTAGATAGCTGTATGTTAGAACATTGTCCATGATTGTAGTGCTGTATGATAGCTGTATGTTAGAACATTGTACCATGATTGTAGTGCTGTATGATATCTGTATGTTAGAAATTGTTCCATGATTGTAGTGCTGTATGATAGCTGATATGTTAGAACATTGTACCAGATTGTAGTGCGTATGATATCTGTATGTTAGAACATTGTACCATGATTGTAGTGCGTATGATTAGCTGTATGTTAGACATTGTATCCATGATTGTAGTGCTGTATGATAGCTGTATGTTAGAACTTGTTCCATGATTGTAGTGCTGTATGATAGCTGTATGTTAGAACATTGTACCATGATTGTTAGTGCTGTATGATAGCTGTATGTTAGAACATTGTACCATGATGTAGTGCTGTATGATAGCTGTATGTTAGAACATTGTACCATGATTGTAGTGCTGTATGATAGCTGTATGTTAGAACATTGTACCATGATTGTAGTGCTGTATGATAGCTGTATGTTAGAACATTGTCCATGATTGTAGTGCTGTATGATAGCTGTATGTTAGAACATTGTTCCATGATTGTAGTGCTGTATGATAGCTGTATGTTAGAACATTGTTCCATGATTGTAGTGCTGTATATCTGTATGTTAGAACATTGTTCCATGATTGTAGTGCTGTATGATAGCTGTATGTTAGAACATTGTTCCATGATTGTAGTGCTGTATGATAGCTGTATGTTAGAACATTGTTCCATGATTGTAGTGCTGTATGATAGCTGTTGTTAGAACATTGTTCCATGATTAGTGCGTGAATATAGCTGTATGTTAGAACATTGTACCATGATTGTAGTGCTGTATGATAGCTGTATGTTAGAACATTGTTCCATGATTGTAGTGCTGTAATGATAGCTGTATGTTAGAACATTGTACCATGATTGTAGTGCTGTATGATAGCTGTATGTTAGAACATTGTACCATGATTGTAGTGCTGTATGATATCTGTATGTTAGAACATTGTACCATGATTGTAGTGCTGTATGATAGCTGTATGTTAGAACATTGTACCATGATTGTAGTGCTGTATGATGCTGTATGTTAGAACATTGTACCATGATTGTAGTGCTGTATGATAGCTGTATGTTAGAACATTGTCCATGATTGTAGTGCTGTTATGATAGCTGTATGTTAGAACATTTGTACCATGATTGTAGTGCTGTATGATAGCTGTATGTTAGAACATTGTACCATGATTGTAGTGCTGTATGATAGCTGTATGTTAGAACATTGTTCATGATTGTAGTGCTGTATGATAGCTGTATGTTAGAACATTGTTATTTTGTGTCTTTGAATGTCATTTGTATAATCTAAAAAATAAAATGTAGAAGAGTTGACATTTAGTCTTTATGAGGATAGACTGACCATGATTGATCTGAAAGGGTAGAATGTAATGATTGTATGCGATAATGTGTATGTTCGAAATTACCATGAAGGCTGAGATGTTAGTTGAAATTTTCAATGGAGTCTGTATGATTTATGTGAACATCCGAGTAAGTTATGAAAACGTTTTTAAAATGTATATGAGTGTGTGGTGTGTAGTTGAAGCTATGATGTGTCTTGTGCTGTATTTAGAAGTACCTGATGTGGCATTGATAACGGGAGAATTTCCAGATGTAGGCTTGAATCTTATTTACCTTTTGAGTGTTAATTGGTGTTTAGAATTTTATGATTGTGTGCTGTATGAACTGTATGTTAGAACATTGCATGATTGAGTCGTATGATAGCTGTATGTAGACATTCATGATTGTAGTGGATAGTGTATTTAGAACATTTCCATGATTGTAGTCTGTATACGTATGTTAGAACATTGTCCATGATTTAGTGCGTATATCTGTATGTTAGAACATTGACCTGATTGTAGTGCTTGATATGATGTTAGAACATGTTCCATGATTTAGTGCTGTATATACTAGTTAGAACATTGTTCATATGTAGTGCTGTATGATACTGTATGTTAGAACATTGTACCATGATTGTAGTGCTGTATGATAGCTGTATGTTAGAACATTGTTCCATGATTGTAGTGCTGTATATCTGTATGTTAGAACATTGTACCATGATTGTAGTGCTGTATGATATCTGTATGTTAGAACATTGTACCATGATTGTAGTGCTGTATGATAGCTGTATGTTAGAACATTGTTCCATGATTGTAGTGCTGTATGATAGCTGTATGTTAGAACATTGTTCCATGATTGTAGTGCTGTATGATATCTGTATGTTAGAACATTGTTCCATGATTGTAGTGCTGTATGATAGCTGTATGTTAGAACATTGTACCATGATTGTAGTGCTGTATGATAGCTGTATGTTAGAACATTGTACCATGATTGTAGTGCTGTATGATAGCTGTATGTTAGAACATTGTTCCATGATTGTAGTGCTGTATATCTGTATGTTAGAACATTGTTCCATGATTGTAGTGCTGTATATCTGTATGTTAGAACATTGTTCCATGATTGTAGTGCTGTATGATAGCTGTATGTTAGAACATTGTACCATGATTGTAGTGCTGTATGATAGCTGTATGTTAGAACATTGTTCCATGATTGTAGTGCTGTATATCTGTATGTTAGAACATTGTTCCATGATTGTAGTGCTGTATATCTGTATGTTAGAACATTGTTCCATGATTGTAGTGCTGTATATCTGTATGTTAGAACATTGTTCCATGATTGTAGTGCTGTATATCTGTATGTTAGAACATTGTTCCATGATTGTAGTGCTGTATATCTGTATGTTAGAACATTGTTCCATGATTGTAGTGCTGTATGATATCTGTATGTTAGAACATTGTTCCATGATTGTAGTGCTGTATGATATCTGTATGTTAGAACATTGTACCATGATTGTAGTGCTGTATGATAGCTGTATGTTAGAACATTGTACCATGATTGCTAAAGCTTTAGCTTAATGATCACTAACTTGTCTAACCTCTGAAAGTTAATCTCTGATTGCATCATATGCTATAATATTAAACTAATAATTTTAAATTTATTGACATATGTATCATATTAACAATACTGTATAATAAATACTGAGAGTAATTAACATTATGCGAAAAGAAAAGAGATGAATAATTATTAATCATTTTTCTGTTGCTTCCTTTCTACGGTCCTTCATCCGTTATCTTACTTCCCACAACCTTTATATTGTTTCATAAATTCTGTATTTTCTATGCTATATATTTACATTATCATATATTCTACATTATTTTAAATTACTGTTATATTCTGTTGTCCGTCACTTCGTATTTATCGCTTATGTTTTTATGTAATATCTGGCGCCTCTAACATCAAAATCTTTCCATCAATACACTTTATAAATCTCTTGGATTATTCTCCATTTTCTATTTCGTCACAAAATATTCTTGGACAAAATAATCCTGTTTTCTCTACTGTTTTGCCTGGAACTCTGTGTATCTTTCACTTGAAATCTGCCTTTCACTATCACTTTGCTCTTTCCCATCATGCATTTTACTTTTTTTTGTCCTCAACATTGTAATTTATTTTCTTTGTTTATTTTTGCACTCTTGTGAAATTACACTGATTACTTCCGTAATTCCTTCATTTGCATTCCTCGTCCTTCCCTCCGTCTGCCCACTCCCGTCTCTAACCTTCACTCAGGGCGGTGTCTACCCGCGTTGTGGCCGGCATCTGGTGGTTCTTCACTCTCATAATGATATCTTCGTACACTGCCAACTTGGCCGCCTTCCTCACCGTCGAACGGATGGAGTCGCCTATCGAGTCGGCCGAGGACCTGGCCAAACAGACCAGGATCAAATATGGCTCCCTCTACGGCGGCTCCACCTGGGATTTTTTCGCGTAAAACTCTCTCTTGGTTAATTTTCTTAAATTCTTATGTGTTGATGAGAGGTAAAATATTGTTGAATTATATGTGTAGTTTCAATTATTTTATAATCTAACTATTGAGAAAGTTGGTTATCTTAATTGTTGAAACACTTAGCCGGATCATCAGGTTTGTTCAGTCGGCTACAGAGGTAAATAATGTAAACAGAAGAAACAGTACAGAGATATTGATTAGGTGATCAGTCCCTCAGCTTTAAAGAACAAGAAATTTGAGAAGGTCAGTCCTTCAACCATGATAAATTGAAGCAGCAGGAGGTAGAATCACCAGTGTAAAATTCCACTAGTCTAAGTAGGTCATGACTGTAGGTTAGGCAAAATGTTGCTGTGTCTAACACATGTAAATGGTTTAGAAAACCGACGAACTCAAGAACTAGATACTTTTGCAACATTTGGGAATCGTCATTGTGGAGACGTTTCACCAACAAGTGGCTTCCTCGGTCGGTATAAGTTGAATGGGACAGATTACCTCACACTTCTCATCTTCCATCAGTTCTGGATTTTAGTACAACAACTTTGGACAACATTCATTGATGAAGAGATTCTGTTCAGTGAGTTGAGCTATAGTTCCAGTGCCTCTTTAAGGTTTTGGAGTACAGTTACTTTGTCCCTTATGTGTAATGAAGGATGCCTCGCTTGGATCACACAGATATAAGTCTGTGATGAATGGTTTAAAAAACCGACAAATTGAAGATTGAGACACTTATGAAATATATGGGAATCTTTATTCAGGAAACGTTTCGCCACACAGTGGCTTCATCATCCAATACAAATCAGAAAGGTGAGGAGGAGTTTGAGGTAATCAGTCCCTCAGCCTGGAGTCGATGTGTTCAGTCCATCAATCTTGTAGAATCTACAGCATAGGGCCGTAGACGTGGCTTATATACTGTAGTCAGGTGAGGCGAAGCAGGAGGAGGAGGGGTCATAGTGGTACCATCCACTAGTCGAAGTAGATCTTGGTCCAAAGGTTGGACAAGGTTGAAGAATTCTTTGGAATCGATTTGTTCACTGAACACATCGATTCCAGGATGAGGGACTGATTACCTCAAACTCCTCCTCACCTTTCAGCTTTGTATTGGACTGATGAAGCCACTGTGTGGCGAAACATTTCTTCAGACATAAGTCTCTCTACATGTTTATCATGTAATTCTCTCTTGCAGTTATAGGCACTGAGAGATGGACATATGTGTGTACATAAACTGTTTATATAATAGGATTAAGAGTGTTATTGATTGTAAGTCAATGAATTTCATCCCAAATGGCTCACTTTCGTGGATGGGATTTAAACTTAACAAATTAACTGTTAACCTGACTCAGGCTTGGTCATCACATCGTAGCATGGGTCATTAGCACAACATTTCTTTCCAGTAATTCCAAGATGCCAACTTACCAACGAATGTTTAGTTTTATGGAGTCTCAAACTCCATCTGTTTATACGAAATCCAATGAAGAAGGCGTGAAGGAGGGTTCAGAAGGGTGATGGACAGTATGCGTTCATGATGGAATCCTCCAGTATAGAGTATATCACTGAGAGGTACTGTGACCTCACTAAGGTTGGGGACATGGACTCCAAGAGCTACGGGATCGCGCTACCTCCAGGGAGGTGCCAAAAATGGATTTGTGGGGAACTGGGTTTGATAAACAGACCCCCCTACTTAAAGGTCATTCTTGTTTGTTCCTTCCTCTTACATGTCTGACCACCTCACAACCTCCTCAGCCCCTGGGATAATAATTTTGTTAATCCCGCACCTCCTTCAAATTTCCAAACTACGGAATTCTTTGCATTGTATTCACACAACCATTACTCCTCAAGATTTGATCATCTCCACTGCCTCAGCCTTCTTCTCGTTGCAACATTCACCACCTATGTTTAACAACATATTAAGAGTGTTGGTATATTGATCTATCGCAAGCATAGGGAACAACAAAACGTGTAAAAACACTGAACCACTGCCCTCACCAATGCTTTGCACTAATTGACTCCTTGGTTATTGACCTCTACAAATGAGACTAACCTGAATGGTCTTCTGAGGTCGACATAGGCCCAAATCAAGCCATACATACAATAGCTATCTTGCGTACACAGACACAGATACACATGCACACACACACACACACACACGCATGCCACAACCTGGTCTCCTTGACCTCATGTCTGGTCATTTACCTATAAATCACGCTAACCAAAAAATAGTTAAGTCAAGTTATTCAAAGGCAGAGGGGGTAGGGGTTACCCTTTCTTTCTAATTTTCTGATCCCCCCCCCCCACCCCCCACCACACTATTTGTAATTCCTTTTATTAATTTAAACTAATTTTTCAGTTATTACATTTTGTTATAAAGGAAGTCCTTCATTGGGTAGGGCACTCTGCAGGGGGGTTCGGGGCATTTGCCCTCCTCTGTACCCTTATAAATCGGCCCTGGATGGGTAGGCACGAACTGTGTGATATAAACCTGACAGGCTGAGCAATCTACAACCTAGGCTTCAGGAAACTTCTGATAGGAAGGATCCGACTAAGCAGTTCTTGTACGTGTTTCCGTTGGACGCACCTAACTGTAACCTAACTGTAGAACTTCCCCACAGTTCAGAAGTTAAGCCAAAAATCTATTCGTAACCTTCGTCTAAGTATACAAGTCTATGAACCCAGATTATGTCGTAATAATCTGTCATTGAATGACACAAGTATTGACCTTGGAAATTCAAAAATTTGTATTTTTGCCTGAATAAATAAGTTCATATTGCAGATGGTTGTTAAGTTCCAATTTTACTTTTTTAATTCCATTGAATACATATTGACATTTACACTTTTTTAAGTATATAAAGAATTACGTCTTATAATTGGCTTCAAATTATTATGTTGATACAGTATTAGGATATTAATGAGCCTCATAAGTTTATTCTGTTTGGGTGAAATTGGGGAAATTTTACTGAAAATAGTTAAAAAAAACTTGGTACGTTACGAATTAGATCAGTTATTGGAGAATGTTTTTTCTGACTCGGCTTTAAACTTTTCGTTTTGGTGGGTTTTATTAAAAACATCTTGTGACCAGTTTTCAGTTATTAAGCAAATTGATTCTCATGTAATTAACTAGACAACATTTCCTCCGGTGAACTTCAAAATGAAAATTCTGGTGAATCTTAGTAGAAAGTTCTTGTGTGTTAAATTTCGATGTGTGGAGCCCAATTTGTCAAAATTTTATTCTGTTTTATCTAAATTTTCAAAAGTTAATAAATATTTTTTTTTACATAGCAGTAGTGAATTTTAAATAGAATTAATGTAGTTAGAAAGTAAGTTGGAAAATATGAAAAATCCGCGAGTATATGGTGTTTTAATTTTAATTAAGGGCACTCCTATTTTTTTTTTTTTTTTGGAAACATTCGCAGGAATTTTTTATTCATAAAATTGCATTTATTACCTCGTGAATGCCTTATTCGATGGCTTCAAATTTTAACCTTGTTATATTGTGTTCCATAACAAAAATTTATGAAAACTATTTTAGTGCGTTATGCAGAGTTGCTACACAGTCCACTCCCAGATTTGTTTTCTCTTTGGTAAATGGACAAAACATTTCTCTTGATTAAATAAAAATGTCAACACTGGTGGTTCCAGTGTGTCTCCAGGAATGTGATTCATCTTGTTTTCTTCCTGATGCAGTGAGGTTAATTTTGACGTCCGTCACTACTGAATTAAGACCTGTTATGCAACATATGGGGATCTTTATTGTAGAAACGTTTTCGCCACCGTGACTTCATCAGTCCAATGCAAATTAGAAATTGGGTAAGAGAGAGATGATGGATGAAACATCGAATCCAAAGTGAGGGACTGATTACCTCAAACTCTTCCTCTCCTTACCATTTCTACTTTTTATTGGACTAATAAAGCACTGTGTGGTGAAACGTTTTCTTGAATAAAGTTCCCATATGTTGCATAAAGTGTCTCCATTTCTTCATCTTGTCGGGGGTTTTTTTCCCCCCCCACAACCATTCATCAATACTGGAATTTAGGTTTAATAACGAGTTGATTTTTTGGTGCCCAGCTTAGGTTCCTTTGTTCTTGGACGTCGTTTTGACGAAGTGTTCTCTCTGTTCAGGATTGCGAGTCTAAGAGCTCGTCCAAAGCCAAACGAACTTGTCTCAAACAACGTGGAGGCGTCTTCGTGGTGCTCCTCATGGTGTATGGGTCTCGCCTCAGATTAGTCGCCGTTTTTGTGAGTTTATTTGGAAATCAAGAAAATTGGCCTACTGAGAAAACATGTGAGTGTTTCTGCTTTCTACCAGTTTGATTGAAGTCATTTTCCTTCCCATCCTGGATAAGGAAAGTTTGTTTGGCAATATATATCGTTTGTGCTCTCCTCACCCTGATCTATGGTGTATTTATATTATTAAGAATATATTTATATCTAATATATAGATATCAGTTAAAATATGTGGACTATGCTACTTTTTGGTCTTATTTGCATCATAAATACCAGTGGCACTGAGTGATGTGACATTTATGTTGTGTACATAACTGTTTATATAATAGGATTAAGAGTGTTGTTGATTGTAAGTCAATGAATTTCATTCCCAAATGGCTCACTTTTTCGTGGATGGGAATTTTAAACTAAACAAATTAACTGTTAACCTGATCAGGCTCTGGTTCATCACATCGTAGGCATGGGTCATTAGCACAACATTTCTTTCCAGTAATTCCAAGATGCCAACTTACAACGAATGTTTAGTTTTATGGAGTCTTCAAACTCCATTCATGTTTATCGAAATCCTTGAGAAGGCGTGAAGAGGGTTCAGAAGGGTGATGGCAGTATGCGTTCATGATGGAATCCTCCTGTTGAGAGTATGATCACTGATAGGTACTTTGACCTTCACTATGGTTGGGGGGACCACTGGACTCCAAGAGATACGGGCATCGCGTACCTCCAGGTAGGTGCAATAATGGATTTGTGGAGAACTGGTTAGATTAAGTACAGACGCAACCCTATTACGAGTATTCGAAGTTACGAAACATTCGGACTTTGGAACATGGACATCGAACCAACACACAATGGACTGTACTGTATAGTACATTTCTGATTACTGTACTGTATTGTCTTTAAGTTTTTCAATGAACGACGGCGCAGAGACAAAACAATAATGATATATCCAGCATTTCACTATCATCTGAAATGCGTAGTGATACTTGAGTGTGGGTGAATCACCCGCACATCGCGGGAGCTATTGGCAATTCCAGTCAAATCTCACCCTTCTTTAACTGCAGCTAAACGTAATTAGGTGTGGGTATTTGGCAGGACTTACTGGGTATTGTAAATGACCCCATTTTCCATAGTTTGTGGTAGGGGAAGTATATCCGTAGGCTGCTACGGATGTGTTTACCTGGAGTTTACCTGGAGAGAGTTTCGGGGGTCAACGCCCCCGCGGCCCGGTCTGGTTGACCAGGCCTCCTGGTGGATCAGGCATGATCAACAGGCTGTTCTTGCTGGCTGACGAAACCAACGTACGAGCCACAGCCCGGCTGATTCAGGAACTGACTGTAGGTGCCTTGTCCAGTGCCAGCTTGAAGGACTGCCAGGGGTCTGTTGGTAATCCCCCTTATGTGTGATGGGGGGAGGCGTGTTGAAACAGTCTCGGGCCCCTGACATTATTGTAGTGGTTCTTAACGTGCTAGTGACACCCCATGCTTTTCATTGGGGGCGATGTGTTGCATCGTCTGCAGTCTTTTGCTTTCTAGTAAGAGTTGTGAGTGATTTACGAGTGCAAGTTCGGTTACTAGTCCCTCTAGGATTTTCCAGGTGTTTATACTCATGTATCTCTCCCTCCTGCGTTCCAGGAATACAGGTTTAGAACTCAAGCGACTCCCAGTAATTGAGGTTGTGTTTTATCTCCGTTTGGCGCCGTGAAAGTTCTCTGTACATTTTCTAGGTCGGCAATTTCACTGCCTTGAAAGGTGCTGTTAGCTTAGAGTGCAGCAAATATTCCAGCCTAGATAGGAACCAAGTGACCTGAAGAGTGTCATCATGGGTGGCCTCCCTAGTTTTGAAGGTTTCATTATCCATCTGTTCATTTTTCGAGCAGATGCGATTGATACAATTTTATGGTCTTGAAGGTGAGATCCTCCGACTAATCACTCCCAGGTCTTTGACGTTGGTGTTTCGCATCTATTTTGTGGCCGAATGTGGTTTGTACTTGATGAAGATGTAATTTCTCATGTTTACCTTAATCTGAGTTAATTGAAATTTCTCATCGTTGAACTTCATATTGTTTCTGCAGCCCTATCTTTGAAAGATTTGGTTGATGTCCGCACTGGAGCCTTGCGTGTCTGCAATGGAAAAAGACACTGTCATGCAGATTCGGGTTGTCATTACTGCAAGGAGACACGGTTGCTGTGGCTGACATCCTTGTCTATGTCGGGATATGAGGATGAGGAGGAACAAGATGGGAGCTACGTACTGTGCCTTGTGGAATGGAACAGAGCTTTTCACCGTTAGCTGCCTCGGACTTCTCTGTTGACGGACTAACTCTTGTGTTCTGTTAGTGAGGAAATCTATAGATCCATCGACCGACTTTTTCCTGTTATATTCTTTAGCGCGCATTTTGGTGCGATTTATTACGCCATGGGTCACACTTGTCGAAGGCTTTTGCCAAGTCTGTATTTATTACATCTGCATTCTTTTTGTCTTCTAGGCTTTTAGGGACTTGTCGTAGTGATCCAGTTGTTGAGGACAGACAGGATGCGACCTGTTCTAAACCCATGTTGGCCCTGGGTTGTGTAACTGATGGGTGTCTTGATGGAGTGGTGATCTTGCTTTCTTAGGACCCTCTCAAAGTTTTTTATGATATGGGATGTTAGTGCTATTGGTCTGTAGTTCTTTGCTGTTGCTTTACTGCCCTTTGTGGTGTGGGGCTAAGTCTGTGGTTTTTAGTAACTGAGGAGGGACGACCCCCGTGTCCATGCTCCCTCTCCTTGGATGGAAAAGGCTCGTGATTGGGCTTCTTGCAGTCTTGATGAACACTGGGAGTTCCTTTGAGTCTGGCCCTGGGCAGAGTGATGGGCATGTCATTTATCGCCTGTTCGAAGTCATTTGGCGTCTCAGGATAAACATCGGGATTGGCTTGTGTTATCTCTAAATTTTGTGGCTATCTCATAAAAAATTCATTTGATCTTGACTCTCAGTCGGGTTAGCGGCCTTGCTAAAAAAACTGAGTCATATTGGGACTTGAGTACGTCACTATTTCCTTGTTGTCACTGTGTAGGGTCCATCGTGTTAATAGGGCCCAATACTGGACGTTGTTCTCGATTTTGATTTGGCATAGGAGAAGAAATACTTTGGGTTTCTTTCGATTTCATTATGGCTTTTAGTTCTTCCTGCGTTTCCTGACTCCTAAAGGATTACTTTTTAGCTTAAAGTTCGTGCTTGTATTTCTCTGACCTGTGTCTCCTGCGCATTTCTGATATATTGACCTCTTTTAGCCGCTCTGTTATTTCTTTTCCGTCGCCCTGTAAGGGAGCGCCTGTCTCTCTCTATTTTAACATTCTACTCCTCCTTTTTCTTGCGGAATAAGCCTTGTGCATACATCGGAGTGCCACCGAGTTAATTCTGTTCTAGGAATAAGGTTGGGTCTGTGGTGCTTAGTATATCTTCCCAGCTTTATCGGTGAGGACTTGGTTTACTTGGTCCCACTTTAGGTTTTTGTTATTGATAGTTTGAATTTGGTGAATGCTCCTCGTGACTAGTCTCATTTTTGTCGGTCTGGGGCTCCACGCATACATGTTGAAAACCTAATTATGTTGTGATCTGAGTATATTGTTTTTGATTATGGTGGGACATTTCTTATCAGCTCATCATTGTTAGTGAAAGATGATGTCTAGTGAATTCTCCAGTCTAGTAAGGCTTATTAATTTGCTGGTTTAAATTGAATTTTGTGCAGAGATTTAAAAGCTCGTGTGATGAGAGTTTTCATCAGAAGCTGCCTCCTGGTGTTTTATTACTGCACAATATTATTTGGCTATATTCCTCCATATTTTTAGGTGCCTTAAGTGGAAATCCACCAGGTGCAAGATGTGGGGTTGAGGAGCTGGAAGATTTTCCAGACAGTGGTCAAATTTTTTAACAGATGTTCATGGAATTGCTGGGATGTTGCATCCAGAGGGCTTGTAGACTACCACAATGACTAGGTTTTGGTTCTCGACTTTACTGCGAAAACTTCCACTACGTCATTTGAGGTTAAGCAGTTCTGTGCAAACAAGGACTCTGCAATGTACAGGCCAACCCCCCCTTTTGCCTGTTCACTCTGCTCTTCTGTTATCAGGTTTGTAGCTGGGATCATAATTTCGTGGTTCCAAGTGATCCTTTATGTGGGTCTCAGTGAAATGAAATAGCCGAGAACAATGCCTTTCCCTCTGCAAGCAGTCCACGGATGAAAGGTATTTTGTTGTTTGTTGCTGGCTTTAGACCCTTTGTAAAATATTTGCAAAGAACGAAGTTATCGGTCTGGTGGTATTGTTGGTTCTGGGGGGGGAGATTTTTTTTCCGGGCATTAGTATTCTGTATCTGTTGGTTTTTGGAGTGGACGGCCATCGACTGTGGTTCCTCTCCCGAATGACTGGATTTGTGTTACGATTTCTGCAGTTTTCCTGCAGTTTTTTTTCCTTCCTGGCACTAAAAAAACCTTCCCTCTGCGTGGCTGTGGCTACCAGGTTTTTTCCCATGGCCTCTGGATGTTATGTATCTTTTTGTCCCTTTTAGATGGTATGGCGGCAATTTAAGTTATAGCACAGTCTTTCTTGGACTGAACGAGGTACACATTTCAGGGTTGAAAAAGCTTACAGGAAGGGGTTTGCATTTTCCTGTTGTCATATGGGCATGCATTTTCTAGGGTGGTCATCGTTGCATGTCCCATCTGTTTTTCCAGATTTCCTATGCCAGCAGATACCAATGTGCATAGTATGTGAACAGGCGTGGTTTCCGTTTGCCTTGGGTTTCTGTTGACTGTATTCCTGTTGGTGATGTTTCCCGTCTTACTCCTATCCTCCCTTAGCACCAAAATGGAGCTCCCACCCAGTGTTTTTTGGTAATTTATCCTCACTATTGCTATTGGAGTCCTCTTGTTTGCTCTTTCTGCGGTATTTCTTGTTTGCAATAATTGGTTTTTTCTTATCTTTGACTACACCTTGTTTCCACCTATATGGTCCTGTCCTTATG